GCTCAGTAAAGTTCCAACAGAAAGCAAGGTAGGAACTGATTCCCTGCTGTCACTCCTGAGTAGTCTTATTAGATCTTGGCAGCTATCCTGGATTTTCTATTGCAAAAGATAAATATCTACTTAAGTCCCTGGCAATAGATTTTCCTTAGTTTATGATTTGATTTCTTCCCAACTTATATGTCATGCAAATCAATTATTAGAACACCGTAAGGTAACTATTTTAATGGAAGTATATATAAATCCAATTATTAGTACAAGTGAAGAGCTATAGAAAGAATTTCAAATCCTTAAAGGGGAGTAAAGATATTAAAGTAAGGGTACCATTTGATCTGAGAGCTGAAGACTATGTAGACAACTGTCAGGCAGAAGATGGCTATATTTGAGCATCAGGAGAGATACATAGCAGAGAGTAGGATAGCATGAATCAAAGACCAAAACAGAGATCCTGACTGACAGACAGGTATGAGTGTAGACTTAAGTACATGGTCTATTTCAGTCTCCACATTTGTCATATGTTTAATATTGCTGAAGGAAATAATGTGAACTATGAAGAAAATAAAGAAGGTAGCCAGATAGGAAGTCAACATAAAATGAATACATGATGAAGAGTTTTACACAAAAGAGTTATTAGCACATTTTGATGAGCAAGTAGACAGAGCAGTTAGTCACATCGAATTACAGTGGTGGTGTTGAGGAATTGACATAAACTGAGAAGAGGAATTGAGATATAGTTCTGAGAGTGATGATGAGGGCTAGAACAAGAAGAGAAATAGTGAGTCTGAATTGAAGTTCAGAAGTTCAGAAATATAGAAAACAGTAGTAAATTATGTAGTGTGTGTGTGTGTGTGTGTGTGTGTGTGTGTGTGTGTGTGTGTGTTCAGGGCATGAGTAGGCAAAGCTAAGAGAAAAAGTGGAATATATGGCTCTCTCCTGATCTAAGTAAAAAGAAATTTGAGAAGCTCCACCAAGTATTGAGCACTGTGATCTCATCACATCTTGCCTGTTCTTGTGTCACAGCCACAGTAAACTGAGCTCGGCAATGTCACATCTATTCCACTCTAGTAAGTTATGCATGGATGGGTCCCTCTACCAGACCATAAACTCTTGGGTGATTAGACATTTGCACAATTCTATCCAGGGCCTGAGGAACAGTACAGCAGGTAGGGCATTTGCTTTGCATGTGGCAGATCTATGTTCGATCCTTGGCATTTCATATTTTTCTCTAAGCCTATCAGAAATGATCCCTAAGCACAGGTTCGGATCAAACTTGGAGCATCATTGGATATCACCCCAAACAGAAACAAGCAAACAAAAACTTCCAAAATTTATTCCAGAATTGTATCTTGTTCCATTTAACCTTTAAGTTTTTCAAATGGAAATGAATACACAGTGATTAATGAAAATATAACCACGTGGAAAACAGCTACATAAATCCAAGTCTTGTGTATATATATATGTATGCATATATATAATTACATAAGTGCAGTTTTTAAATGTGCTTGATTTCCAAAACAAAACTGTTATATCATGATAAAATTTCAGAATTCCTGCAAAACAAAAAAGAATTTAAAGCTAAAAATAAATACTTGGAAGCACCAACTAATCCAGAAAGTATAAAAGATTCACTATGTATTTAATTAACTACATGGGCCAGGAAATTTTGCCATAGCTTTCTTTAACCATGAAGATCATAAATAAACACACTTTAAAAATTTCTGTTCTATGCCCCTTCTTCCTCCAGTGAGGTAAAAAATTTAAAACTGGAAAGAGAGAAAATGTCGCTATTTTGGTATTTTCACAGACAGTTACAATGCAGGGAATACTTAGAAGTCTGTCAGTACATACAATAGTATTCATAATAAAATTGTGTGAACTTTTCTCATTTCAAAGCGAGATTTAGGGGAGGTATTTTCTAGAAAATAAAATCTAAAAAGTTTCTCCTAAAATTGTGCCCTGATGCCTTTCTTAAAGAACTATAGACATATTTAATTGTGTGTGTTTGTGTTTATGTTTTCACCAAGAGACAAATTTTAAAGCAGAATGTGTGGGGAAAGTTCCTTCCAAAAAGTTAAGCATAATGTTTGTTATTTTCTGATTATGATTTTTTTTAAATTTTCAAAATATTTGATTTTTCTGTGTGTGTTCTGGGTAAGACTTCTTTGGAACTGAAGATATGATTATGACTGTCATTAGCACCATTTGCTTAGTCTTTGTCTCTGTTTATAGTTACATTAGTAAAATTTTCAAAATTGGATTTCTGGGTTTCTGCTGATCTTGACTCATCAAAGGAAAGAAAGACTTTGTTCCTTCTTTCACTCAATTCCATCTATGCTGACATTTTTTTTAAAAGACTGACCTAGTTGACTACAAAGATCTAACTAGACTTTTTTAGCTTCAAATTTACTATTACATATCCTTATTACAGAATTAATAGATTACTTAGAATTTATTCAGAATGCATATTTTTGCTTATTAATAATAAATGTGTTACAGGGTAAGTACAACTTTTAATACTGAGTACACTGGGACCATCTCCTTGCAAAAGGGAAAGACTGCTTCAATACAAGAATTACTCAAATTGGGGTCAGAGTGAAAGTACAAAGGGTAGGGTGCTTGTCTTATATGCAGCTGACCCAGGTTTGATCCCCAGCACCACATATGGTCCCCTGAATTCTGCTATAAGTAATCCCTGAGTGCAGAGCCAAGATGAATCCTTGGACACATATTGGTGACCCCAGAGGGGGATAAAAATTTAAAAGTATTATTCAAGTTGCTTCAGTTACTAAGTAAATGGCAATTCTGCCACACGGAAGGCTGATATTGAGGAAATGAAGATAGCTCCATTCTGAGGCGCGGACAGATATTATAGAAATTAAGGTGTGTATTCACTCCAATTCTCTTCCCAGTATCACTTATGGTCCTCCAAGTATCGCCAAAAGTGATCCCTGAGCATAGAACCATAAGAACACCAGTGAGCTTTGCCAAGCCCTCTCAAAAGACAGTGCCATACAAAAACTTTCTATAATGTAGCAAATTAAACCTAAAATTGGAAAATTCATAGAAGTTACGGATGAGACAATATGTCAAGCAGAAGTGATATGATTATGTATGCTTTTTAAGGTATTGACTTAAGGGCATTTTATTTTTATTACTTTTTTCATTGAATCACCATGAGGTATAGTTACAAAGTAGTTCACAATTGGATTTCAGTCATACAGTGTTCCAATAATCATCCCTTCTCCAGTATACATTTTCCATCACCAATGTCCCCAGTTTCCCTCTTGTGCCCCTGCACGCCCCCATCCCTGCCTAACTTTATGGCAGGCACTTTTCTCCTATTTCTCTCTCTCTCTCTCTCTCTCTCTCTCTCTCTCTCTCTCTCTCTCTCTCTCTCTCTCTCTCTCTCCTCTCTGTCTTTCTCATTTTGGGCATTCTTATTTGCAGTACAGGTACTGAAAGTTCATCACATTTGTCCCTTTATCTACTGTCAGCACTCAGTTCTTGTCCAGAGTAATGATTTCTAGCTATCATTGTCATGGTGGTCCCTTCTCTGTTCTACCTGCCCGTCCTCACACCACTTGTGGAAGCATCTAACTGTGAATTGTGGACCAATCCTCCTGAACTTTGTTCCTAGTCTTCTTGGATATTATTCTCAGGCTATATGTTTTTTTGTTTTTGTTTTTTTGTTTTTTAGTATCATTGTTGTAGAGTTTGGAAATGAGTTTGGAGGGTCACATGCTCCAGAAAATCCAGAATACTTGATTAGGCAGTCAGGCCAGAGACATGGTGGTGTGGGGATGACTACTAAGGCTGTGTTAGGGTGCGAGCTGGCCGTTCCCCTCCAAGAGTGACCCGGAAGTCTCAGCCAGGGTCAGGAATTGGTGTTTGAGAAATGTTTGTGACTAGTTGATCTCTTTCAAGATTTATTTGAGTCTCTGGAACAAGGCCAATAGATGAACTTGGATGGTGGCAGTGGTGAGACATGGGTGTGGCTACTGAGTCTTCGGGAATTAGGGGGAGACTGGCCATCCCTACCCAACAATACCTGGAGTTTTCAGTCAAAAAAAAAAAAGAAAAAAAAGTACCGAATTTTTGGGCAGATTTAGGTTCTCTGTGGGCTACCTGAACTACTTCATATACTACTGGACAGAAATGCTTCACCAAACAACTCCTAACTGCAAAGTAAACTGGAGAATGTATTTAGGCATGTTATCTCCTAAATGAGTGGGAATTCTACCACGTCCCCCACCCCCCATAAATATCTATCTGATTTATTCCCCTACACACTAATTATTATTGTAGTCTTGTATTATGTTTTGAAATTGGGTGACCTGATACCTCCAGGGTTTTTTTTCTTTTCCAATGGTATTTTAAATTTTTAGTGGTAGTTTTGATTCCACATGATTTTGTGATAGACTCTTCTACTATTAGAAAAACAAAATTGTTAGAGATGGATTAGATATGGCCTAAAGACAAATTTGGAGCATCTTTGCCACTTGTATGTATTGGTGGAGGTGTAGTAACTTTGTATACTAAAGCATAAACATCACTGAAAGCTTCTTGCCTATTATTTGTCTACAATAAAATGAACAATTACGCTTACAATTGTGATTTTAATAAGGATCGAACCTTTATTTTTCTGATAATATTAAAATATTTGCTATGTTCCCCTCCAATCCATGAAAATGGAACACCTTTTTTGGTTTATCTTTTAAATTTTCAGTATGCAAATCTTTCTCCTCTTTCTTTCAGTTTACTAATGAATATTTTTCCTTTTTGTATTTTTGTAAATATTTTCTTAATAATATGAATTACCAGTACATGGAAAGGCAACTTATTTTTGTGTTACTTTCTGAATCTGTAGGTGTCATTAGCCATGCTCTACTTATATTCTAGGGATGTAATACAAAATAGTAATAATTAGTATGTGGTAATTGACATACATTTGTAAAGAACTGGATGTAATCTTTATCCTTTTGTTTTCCTTTGTTTCACTTTAGGGTTCTGCTAGTGCAACAGCTTCTCCTCCAGTTTCCACCCCTGTCACCGGGCACAAGAGAATGGTCATACCAAACCAGCCACCTCTAACAGCTACCAAGAAGTCTACAATGAAGCCTCAGCCTGCGACACAGCCTGGACCCATCCCTGTGACTCCAATTGGGACACTAAAACCCCAGCCTCAGCCAGTTCCTGCCTCCTACACTACAGCATCGACTCCTTCAAGACCTACCTTTAATATTCAAGTAAAATCAGCTCAGCCCAGCACTCACTACATGGCTGCGCCTTCAGCAGGACAATTTTATGGACAAGGACCTCACAACTATAATACTCAACCAAGTCCTGCTTCTGGGCAAGGTCCTCCTCCTTCAGCACGGGGAGGCATGGATTATGCATACATGCCACAATCAGGCACTCAAACTGAGCCTGTGTATGGATATGCCCCCAACCAAGGACGCTATTATGAAGCCTATGGCCCAGGAGGGCCTGGTTATGGGGGCAAAAATGACATTGATCCTGCCTATGGTCAGCAAAATCATCCCAATACCTGGAAGATGGAACAAGGATATGCTCCCTCGGGAAAAGGGAACCAGAATCCTCCTGGGCCGTACCCAGTTGCTGGTTCTAAGAAGACCTATATCACAGATCCTCTGCCTGCACCCTCTGGACCACTAGTCTCAAAGGTAGGAAAACTCATTATCATAGCGATGGGAATAAAAGTGTACATAACCAAAGCTTCCTACCTCAGACCAAAATCAAGCAAACAAAGATAAAAGCAGCATATGGCGAACTGTATGTGCTACTCTATACTCTATATTTTCTTAGTAAGTACAAACTCAGTGATGCATGAGCTAAGCAGCAGCAGGAGAAGATCCAACTTGGGGTATAGCAATATTTTACCAGTATGGCTTCTGTTTAGTTTCAAATGCAGTGCATTGTAGTCTTGAACAATCATTACCTGGAGGACCTATGAATCATAGTCATCAAAAGGCAATCTGTTTAAATGAAGGAATGGGAAATATTTTATGTTCTAGCTTTTGTCATCTATTTGTCAAAGTTCCCCTTCCCCTGTAAGGCAAACTCGGTTGTGGGTACTAAATTGACCAGCAGCGTTCCATGCCTCAGCAGAAACAGAGAATCCTTAGTCCTGGAGGTAGGAGGTATATAGCACCTACATAAGTGAGCAGTTTTCTGGTTGGGCTCATATGAAGGCTATCATAGCCCTCACTAAATTGGTACCAGAGCATCCACATTATTTATCTATGAGAAAGAATCTCAGTGCAAACTGTAACCGATTCGACAGTTTTTGGAAATATTTTCACAGTCACCTTTTTGTTGTTTGAGTGTATTGTTTATTCAGACGATGTATTCGCTTGTTTTATATCAGATGTACTGCCTATAACTACTCCCTAACAACTCAGATTTCTCTTGACTGTAGTGGGAACACTAAAATCCCAGCCTCAGACTTATTATAATAGCATAATTAATATGCTATACTTAATATCTTAATACTCAAGTAATAGTATTATGATATTATCTGTAGCACTGTAGCACTGTCCTCCCATTATTCATCTATTTGCTCGAGTGGGCCCAGTAACGTCTCCATTGTGAGACTTGTTTTTACTGTGTTTAGCATATCGAATACATCATGGGTAGCTTGCCAGGCTTTGCTGTGCTGGGAAGATACTCTCAGTAGCTTGCCAGGCTCTCCGAGCAGGGCAGAGGAATCAAACCCGGGTTGGCCAGGGCAGCTGCATGCAAGGCAAACGCCCTGCTGCTGTGCTGTCACTCCAGGCCCATAATATTATTATACTTGACATAATATTATCCCACCCCACCTTGAGAAGAGGAATCAAGGAAAATTACTTGAAAGTGGTGAGAAAAAATTCTAAGGAGTTTCTAATCATCACATTGAGACAGAAACCTGTCTTTTATCATTTAGGTTAGATCAGTAAGAGTATTCAGAGACCAAAGTGAATGGTACTTTGGGAAACTAGACTAACTCCTTTTTGTCCTGTATCACTGTCCTCCTGTTGTTCATCGATTTGCTGCAGCGGCCCCAGTAATGTCTCCATTTTTTGAGACTTGTGGTCACTGTGTTTGTCATATTGAATACGTCACGGGTAGCTTCCCAGGCTTTGCCATGCAGGTGAGATACTCTCAGTAGCTTGCCAGGCTCTCTGAGAGGGACAGAGGAATCGAACCCAGCTCTGCTGGGCTGGGTGCACGCAAGGGAAACGCCCTACCACTGTGCTATCGCTCCTTCTAAGAAGGGAATATATAAATATATGTATTTTTAATCTGCACATTTTCTGTATCTCTGGGCTTCTGGTAGTCCCCCTTCAGCATGTGAGACCAATCCAGTGGTTTAGAAAAAGGAATCAACCCACTACAAGACCTCAATCTAAGATTCTGGCTGGTTCCAACCATATCACTAGACTGTGGTCTGTCTTCAGGTTATGCAATCTAATGATTGAATGAAATTTACTACTTATCAGAAAGCTGGGAACTTCATTTTTATTCTTACTCAAAAGGGATAATGAATCAAGGTGGTCTGTTACATTATTATGATTCTGGGCATCAGTCTAATGCCTGCCTTTTTTATTTTGAAATATTTGTTTTTCAACAGTGTCATGTGTTTTAACACCATATTTAATTATGCATTTTAGAAATGAAAATCAAATCATGTACTTTCACAGTGATTATTAAGGAGAGTGGTTAGAGGTTGATATTTAGCCATCTGTCTGTGTTTGGGGGTAGGAGAAGGAGACTGATGAAACTACAGATAGATTTTGTGTGTGATACAGGAGCCTTGGTGGATGAAGGGGTAGAGCCTGTCACAGTTGGTCTTTGAGTAGAACACTACTGTATTCAACTGCACCTGTGCACAGAGGCCCTTGTCCCAATATTGACTCTACTTGGCTTAGAATGTGAGTAGTCTTGAGAAATGTGCTCTTAAGTTTTATCCCAGTTCTTCCCTTGGCACTGGTCTTTCTTGAGTCAGGCCTCTCTAGACCTCTTCATGTCACACTTCTTAGCCTCAAAAAGTGAAATGTCCTCTTCAGTAATTAATGAATGATTGCAAAGAGCTTGGAAATTTCCAAGGGGTAAATAATTACCATATGAGGATTTTTCAGTATTTTCACTGACTTTCTCTTTTTTTAAAAAATATTTTAGTCACTGATGAAAACTTACCTTCATGTCCTAAAACAACTATCTTTTGTGGCATTTTGAAGTTCTAAGAAACTTGACATTTAACACATTAAGGAAAAGTATTTTTAATGAGAAAAATAAATATTTGATATTTAAGGTGAACTGCTTAAATGTCCCTATATTGAAGAGGAATATAAAGGAGGAGGTGAAAAGGAAGCTTAAGGAAGAAAAAAAAAGAAAAGAAGAAAGGAAAGAATAAAGAAAGAATGGAGAAAGGGAGAGAAATCAGAACCCGCAATGCTTGGGAGACTGTGATTATGTTTGTGTTCTCCTAACATGTTGAGCAGTAAATTTGCGTGTTACTGCAGACCATAATGTGTTTCCTGTGCCATCTGAGCTGAGTTCCTTGAAAAATATTGTTACAAGTAGGAATTTCTACAGGAGAAATGTTTTCCTTCTTGCTAGAACTCCTCTTAAAGAGACAGGGATGTCTTATCTGCTTTAGAATTTGTTTCTGTGGAGGGTAGATCTTCCGCAGTGCTCAGAGAGCCTAAGGGCCACTCCCAGTGGTTCTTGGCCCACCTGAATAGATGTTTCAGTGCTCCTAACCAAGGATGCTACTCTAGGTTCTGAGGGACCCTGTGCTGCTGAGCCCAGCAGAGACTCATCAACGGTGTTCAAAGGACCAACTGGTTATTGTGGGTATAACTAGGGTTGGAAACATTCCAGGCATTTACCTTTAGCGTTAAAAATATGTCTCCAAACTCCCTTTTATTGTTGTTCTGTAACGCTAATGTTTATATGTTACTGTGTAAGCCATGGAACATTTGCCCTCTGTGTTATCTTCATGTGCCTCTGAGAAGTGTATTCTCTCTAATAATCATATAAGGTATGACAGTTTAAAGGCCCTAAGGCCAGGACCTGGAGTCAAGTTGTCACTGCCAGACCCACAGTGGTGGAGCAGCTGTAGCAGCCACTCTCAGTGGTAGACCTAATCTGTGTCACATCAACTTTCTTAAAGGGACATGTCCATAAACGTTCTAGAGGCTCACCTACCATGTGGGATAGAATATGTTTTTAAAATACACTGAATTTCTTTGGCAACCCCTTTAGGAAAGGGAGCTCTGACACACTGATATCTTACAATATCTTACACACTAAGTGTCTCTTCTCCAGATGACAGATCTTTGTTCTTTAGGTAGTCTTTTTAATCTAAGGGAATAATGAAAGGGTCAGAAAAGAAAGTTCAGATTTCAGAATACTGGGGTGTGTGTGGAGGGTTCCTTGTAGTTATTAATTTGTTAAGATTCATAGTATATTTAAGGCTATTGAAATACTAGCATTTCTGAACATTTAATTCATATTAAATATTTTTTTATTTCTTTATAAAATTGAACATATACATTGAACCAAAGAGTTGCTGGCATTTTCGAAAGAACTATCTTTATGGTAAATCCTGGGCTAAATTTCCCTCAATTTTAGCATTAAAATGACAAAATAGAAGCTGATTATTAAGGGGACAGTGAGGGTACATAGCCAGACAGACAAACGAATAGACAGATAGAAAATATATTATAATCAACATTGACATATATATCCGGACCTATGAAAGATAAGCTTGAGAAGCTCAATGGCAATACTATGTATAGTTTCGTCGAGTGTTTTTCAGTTTCCAAAGCACTTTGTGAACTTCACCATATCTATGAATCGTAAGCTCTAATAAAGGTTTTTGTCTGTTTTTTTTTTTTTTAACTGACTGAGGATTCAAACCCTAAGTAACAAGAGGGCCGAAGTAAGACTGAAGCCAAATGCCAGATTCATGGAGAGCCACAACCGAGTGGGACTTTCTAAAGAATATCCTCTTTATTTCCCTGGCAAATGCTGGATCGTTACTGGCATGCTTTACTGTTTGGATAGTGACAGAAGCATCATATCAGCAGCCAGAGGGAAATACCTAGTAAATCCCCACAGTGTCCCCAGGCTATGGGCGTGGAGACTTCCTCTTCCTCAGGCATGGACAAGATTCAGTTTGTCCTAAGAGACAATGTCAATTCTTGGGGCTGGAGAGATTAGATGCAGGGTTCGATCCCTGACACCCCATATGGTTCCCTGAGCCTGCCAAGAGTTGACCCCACACAGAGCACAGAAGCAAGAGTGAGCCCTGACCACCATGCTTGGTGTAGCCAAAACAAAAACAAACAAACAAACAGACGAAAAAACCCTCTCAAATCTTTAAATAAAAAAAAAAGTCCATCCTCCTTTTTCCTATCCAACTTTAATGATCCTCATTACTCATTTGAGCCCTGGCACATGATCCCTCCATTTATGTTACCATATGCCTCCGTCATTACCCTCTCATCACGGCAGTCATCACGGACACACTGCCAATTTCTCACAACTCTGCATTTTTTGCTACTTTCAAAAGTCTTCAGAAGTTCTCAAACAGCTATGAAATGAATTGAAATCCCAGCCGGGGAATTTCTAATTGTTTCTCCCCCATTTGTGTTTCCTGGTTTCCAGCTGAGAAATT